GTTCTCTGCCCCAGCCCCTCCCCCGCCCCACCCTTTTCTCCGTCCCCATGTCTGGGCCCGTCATTTCTCCCCAGGACTTTTTCACATATTGGGGCCCGCAGGGACTTTGCAGTTTCAGCTAATGTTGCCTTGGGACAGTGAAAGCCCTTTTCTCTGTTGAAGGAATCATGGGAAGACTGAGAAGGAGGAGATGTCACACCTGGGGTGAGATGGCTAGGGGCTCTCCCATCACCCACCCTCACTTTTCAGCAGTCAGACAACCACCTGCAATCCTGCCGCCCTAGAGAAGGTCCTATGCTCTGGGCTGGCTGGGTTGAGTTGTTCTGGAAGGGGCTGATCCCTTCTCTTTCAAATCTTGCCCCATAGGTGGTCATCTGATTTAGGCTGTTCCAGGTGGGGACCGAAGCCTTTCCTTCACCTTGACAGAGGCTGAGAGTGAAGGAGCACTGGCCTGGGAGCTGGAAACATTTGGGACCGAGTCCCAACTTGGTCCCTTTATTGGCTATGTGTCCTTGGCCAATGGCTTGAACTGTCTGAGCCTTACTAAAATGGATTTGTTCCTATGGCAACTAGCTGTGGGATGGGCTGTAAAGGTTAAATCATGGAGGGGAGCAGAAGGAATATTATTATCCTTGCCAGTCTGTTCTGTGCAGCAGGGTGGGGGGTACTAGGAGAAAGCAGGTTTTGTGCAGTGTTTGGTGACCCTCCTTCCTACCTGGTGCCTGGGCTGGGTGTTTGAAGCCTCGAGGCGGGTAGGTACCCAGCCCCCTTTTCCCCTAGTTGGGACGGAACTGAGGAGTAGCCATTGGATCTATGTGTAGACTGGGGCAGACAGCATGAGAGCTCCTCAGCCCTGGTGGCTGGAGATGTCCTAGGGGCAGGTGGAAGGGGGGCGCTGGGGGCTCTGCCTGGGGTTGGCCTTCAGGGGCACAGAAAGACTTTCCTGTCTCCCTGCCCAGATACAGGCTGTGCCGCAGTGAGGTGCAAGAGCAGGACCGGGGCTTAGAGGCTGAGAAGGGGTTACTGACAGCAGAGGATTTTGTGGCGGAAGATTTTGTGCCTGTGGAGGAATTGGTGCCTGAGGAGGAACTGGGGGCCACAGAAGAGGTGGCGTCAGCTGAGGAGGGGGCAACAGAAGAGGCAGAGCTGGTGTCTGAGGAGGCCGAGGCCTGGGAGGAGGTGGAGCCGGAGCTGGATGAGGCAACGCAGGGGAACGTAGGGACCTCAGCGCTGGAGGCTAGCGGCTTGGGCCCCTCTCACCTAAACATGAAGCGTGTCCTCCAGCAACTGGCTAACTGGCTGGATGCGCGTTATAGTCGGCAGTTGAGGCTGAAGATGCTCCAGAAAGGTGAGTGCTCCCACAGGGGCCTCCCTCCGGCCAGCCAGACCAGCTACAGATCATCAATGAAAGGTGAGGGTAGGTGAGCCCCCCAAATGCTCACTTACCCCAGCTTGGCCTCACCCAGTGTGGTGATTTGCATGGAATTTGCATATCATTTGCATAGGCACCTCCAGGTTCCTTCAGTGGGAACTATGGCCCCAGGGCTCATTTATGTGGAATTTGCTTAGGATTCCAGATCTCTACCCCTTTTTCGCCTGGGGGTCTGGGCTGAAGGTCATGACCAGGACTGCAGCCCCCTACTGTGCCTCTGCTTCCCGTCTCTGCTGCCCCCTTCTCCCTGTCTCCCACTCTGCCACCCGATCCCCGAGGCTCCCCAGCCCTGCAGTAGTGACAGCAACAGGTACAGGGAGCGGATCAGAGCAGCAGCCCGGGGTGCTGACCCAGCCGTTTCAGAGGCTGGAGGAGGACTGGGCCAACCATCCTCCCAGGGCCTGGGAGGAAGAGGGGTGTTCTGGGGCCACCCAGGCCATTGGGACAAAGGCCTCTGCTAGCTAGCAAGGGTCGCAGCTGGACCAGCCCCCTGGGTGAGTCTGAAGATGGGCTGGGTCTCCTCCAGGGTGCCGGGGGGTGGGTCAGGGTCTCCTCTCCCCAGCTGGAAGCCCCAAAGTCTGGGGAGTTGCACCTGCTGAGTGTGAGCCCTGCCTTCAAGGAGCTCACAGAGACACCAAAGGTGATTTAGTGACTGGCATTGTTTCCTTTAGTCCTCGCACCCCTGAAGGTAGCTGTTACCAGCCCTTTGTTAGGTGAGAAAACTGAGGTTTGGAGAACTTAAGTAAGAACTTAAGATCATTTAAGAACTTAAGAACTTAAGATCACTTAGCTGGAGTGGGTCTGAGCCTGTTCTCCTCACTCCTATGCCAGAATGACTTTTCCTGGCCTGTCCCTCCCCTCTGACCCTGTCCTGGTGCCTGCCTGGCCTGCTCATCAGCCGTGAAATTTGTAGCCTCACCGGCATGTGTGGGCTGCCCCCACTCCAGTGGCCGCTTGGTCACTGCTGGGCAACCTCATCAGGGTCACCGTGTAAGGTTGTGCAGTTTGGAAACTGAACGGTGACCTCTTTGGCCAGCCAGTGGGCAGCCTGTAAAACTATCAATCACGGCTGTCTTTCTGATACAGCGACAAGGCCTCGGCCCCTGCCTGCTGTCCAAGCCCTCAGTTTACCCCTCCCTTCTCTTCCAGGCTTTGCTGGTTCCCAGCAGCCTGCAGAGGCCCCACAGACAGCCTGAGGCCCCTCCTTCAGCTGCTCGGCCAAGTCCCACCTACCCCAGACCCTCCTTCCCATCCTCCCAAACAGGACCCCCCTGTCTGTCACCGGCCTGCCTTCTGTCCCCATGAACCTGGGCTGGGGCTTGAGGACCCAAGCCTCGACCCTTTGCAGCTGGTGCAAAAGCTAGTTCAGGTTGCTGGGCCTGGGGTCACATGGTAGCCCAGGGGATGGGGGTGCCTGAGGGGAGGTCTGTCTGCTGCCAGACCTGGCTTTGAGCTGGGGGTGGGGCTCAGACACTGGTGTAGGAAGGTGTTCTGACTACCTTTCTAACGACAGGCCCTTGACCCTCAAGTTAAAGGTGGCCCGTGAGTCCTTGCTGACTTTTAGGGACCTGGCCTTCTTCCCCCATTCTTGGTCCTTTCTTCTCAGTCCCTAACTACTGTTGGTAACCAAGAGTATCTCTGTGTGTGGGTGAGGGGTCCCTCCGCCCACTGGGGGCCTCCTCCCACCCCGCCCCCGTCTCCCTGCCTGTGGCCCATGTGTCCAGGCTCCCTGCCCACTGCTCCTTCCCCCCGGTCCTCCCCTCAGTCCTCTGTGCCTCTCCTTTCTTCATTCTAGATGTTCTGCCCTCTCCCACTCTTTACTCCTAAACAGCTGGAGTCTGGGGCTCCCCCACCTCCTGCCCACTTCATTCTGGCTCTGTTCCTGCTGCGTTGCTCACTCTCCTGTTGCTTGTCAGCCTGTGCACCTGCTGGTGCAGGAAATAAAGGAACTGTGCACTACCTGGCCTGGACTCCGGCGTCTTTCTCTGGGAGCATGTGTGCGTGTGTGTGTGCCCCTGCATGCAGCTTTGCTGGGGCAAAGTTGTAGAAAGAGGATGGGCTCCAATACTGAATCATGTGCCATGGACTTTTGTTAAATGCATTACTTAGTCATATCAACAACCCCTGGGGGGTGGTGGGTGATCTGGTAAATGGTTATTAGAGGATGAAACAGGCCCAGGCGGGTCTAACAGCTAGTTGCAGAACTGGGATGTGAACCCAGGCCCTCAGGCCTCTGGAGCTCATGCTCAGACAGGCTCCTTTCCCTGTTTTCTGCTCCAGGGACTCTGGCCCAGTGCCCTGCCTGTGAGGGGAAAGGCACGGGCGAGAATCACCCACTGTCTTAGGTAAACATCCCTCAGACCTGGAATCAGACCTGGAACAGCATTTGAAAACAAGTAGTTTGTTTGGAAGATGATCCAGGAATCACTCTTGGGGACAGTGGGGAATTGAGAACTGAAGGAAAGCTAATGAAAGGGAGTGCTAGGCACCGAGGCTAACCCTACAGGGAACTCTGGGAAGAAGTGTAGCCTTTTGCTACTCAGGTGTGGTCTGTGGACCAGCGTCACCCACATCTCCTGGGAGTTTGTCAGAAATGCAGATTCTCAGGTCCCACCCCAGACCCAAAGAGTCAGAATCTCCGTGGTAACAAGGACCCCGGGGAAGGCACATGCATACTAAAGTTTGGGACCCACCGAGATGGACCCCACCCAAAGGGGGAGGAGGCTGGGCATGCCTCGCCCAGCTGACATTTGTGTCTGACAGTCTTGGGGGCATTAACATGTTGTGTTCTGTGCCCTGTACGTGGGAGAGGAAAGCCCCCTGTTACAAAATACCAATGCTTTCAGTGGAATATGGACACCACATGCTGGAGTGGATATATATTTTTAAGAGTTTATTTATTTTGAGAGATAGCATGAGCAGAAGAGGGGCACAAGCAAGAGAGAGAGAGAATCTCAAGCAGGTTCCATAATGTTAGCGCAGAGCCCAACATGGGGCTCGAACTCAACAATGTTGAGATCATGACCTGGGCCAAAATCAAGAGTCAGATGCTTAACCGACTGAGCCACCCAGGTGCTCCCGGAATGCGTATTTTTAAATGGCTATGCTGTATTTTTAAATTTTTTTTTTAAAGTCTTTATTTTTGAGACAGAGACAGAGCATGAACGGGGGAGGGTCAGAGAGAGAGGGAGGCACAGAATCCGAAGCAGGCTCCAGGCTCTGAGCTGTCAGCACAGAGCCTGACGTGGGGCTCGAACTCACGGACCGCGAGATAGTGACCTGAGCCGAAGTCGGACCCTTAACTGACTGAGCCACCCAGGCGCCCCCCCCCGATGTGGGGTTTGAATTCACAAACTGTTAAGATCATGACCTGAGCCACAGTTGGATGCTCAACTGACTGAGCCACCCAGGAACCCCAAGGTTTTCCTGGTTTAAACAAAATAGACCTCACCTTCCCCACTCTTGATAAAGAATACCGGGAGGCAAAAAGACACTAAGACATTATGCGGAAGAAGATAGGGTCTAATTATGCATAAAACTCATTATGGTAC